GATCATCATAAATATGACGCAAGTTTAAATTATCTTGCTTAAATAAAATAATAAAATTTGCGTTGTCTCTTATTAGATGTTTAGGAATACATGTGTATGTTTGACATAAATAAAAACAATCTATATTTCTGTGTCGTCCCATGCTAAAATATTCTTTCATTAAATTTTGCTTGTCACATGCCACGTCGTCAAAAATGAAGACAGAATTAGTTTTAGCTTTGTGCGCTGGTGGTATGTTGTTATTGTCGAAATTGTTAAAACTATAAAAATTTATACCTTTAATAGGTTTTAGAAGATTTTCCAAATATTGATATTTTGGTTGGAAAAGAGATTTAGAATACACGTAGACATTTTCAAATCTTAAACCATTTGGATGTTCGATTAAACCTATCATAACATTAGTTTTTCCGCAATTAGACGGTCCGACAATTATACATCTTACTGTCGATGGTAAAAGATCTCCGTGTCTTTTATTCTCACTGTTAATTTTGATATCGTTATTGCTTATCGGCAATTTAAGGTTTTGAGGGATCAAACGCATTTCGACATCTAATTAAGAAACCGACATGTGGAGGGGTATAAATACTAAATTTTTCTACGATTCCATTAGTATTTTAGCTGATACGAAAGTTTGAGTATAAATGAAGATTACGAAGCGAACAAGGAACAGTCGTCGTAGTGAGACCTACAGAAAAACATATTGTGGACGTGGGATCGTAAATTCGGTTATTAATAAATTACCGTTTGAACTTCATATTCCGGGTTATAACTTTTGTGGACCAGGAACTAAATTAGAAAAACGATTAGCAAGAGGAGATAAAGGTCGAAATCAATTAGACGAAGCTTGCAAATTTCACGATATAGCTTACAGTGAACATAAAGATTTGGAAAATCGACATAAAGCCGATAAAGTTCTATTAGATAAAGCAAAACTTAGACTACGTTCTTCGGACGCATCTTTCGGGGAAAAAGCTGCTGCTTTAGGTGTTGCGGCTGCTATGAAAGCTAAAATAAAACTTGGTATGGGTTGTCGAATCAAAAGAAAAACTATTAGACGTGGAAAGGCCTTGAATTTTAACGTTTTAAGAAAATCCGCCAGGCTTGCTTTAAAAAATAAGAAATTTAAGAATATGAAGGATGCTGTAAAAGTGGCCATGAGAGCAGTAAAATCATCAAAAGGAAAAAAGAGAGTGAGACCTCTTCGTCACAGACGTATAATACCCATACCGAAAAGTGGTGGATTTTTACCTCTACTACCAATATTTGCCGCTTTAGGCGCTCTGGGATCTTTAGGTGGTGGTGCAGCAGCCGTTGCAAAAGCTGTTAACGATGCTAAATCAGCTAAAGAACAGTTGAAAGAAAACCAAAGACACAATCAGAAAATGGAGTCGATAGCTGTAGGAAAGTCAGGGAGTGGATTATATTTGAAACCATATAAAAGAGGATATGGTCTTTTTTTAGCCCCATCAAAATTTCAAAAGAACTCCCGATAAATCTTCCAAAACATGCTCTCACCAACATCGACATTTGCAAATATGTAAAGCGTTTGAAAATTCCTCGCTTCAGAGGAGTTTTTATGAAAGATTCGCTTCCAAATAAAGTGCACCTTAATGAGTGTGGTATATTAAATCTAGACAATAAGGAAGGTTCTGGAACACATTGGACAGCTTATAAAAAAACTCGAAATGAAGCTATATACTTCGATAGTTATGGAGATTTGAGGCCACCTCTTGAACTGATCAAATATTTACAGAGCAACGGTTCCTGTAATATAGTATATAATCATCAAGCTTTACAGACTTTTAAAACTATTAATTGTGGACATTTATGTCTACGATTTCTATATAACTGTTACAAATAAAATTGTTCGAAGTTAGAGCGTTTTAGTTCAATTGATAGTGTCGTTGAAGCAAGTACTACGATGTCGAACGTATTTTCATTGGATGGAAACAGTTCTGTACTTTCGAGCAGATACTATCCACCAATTATCTTGGAAGATTATAACTATGCTTTAGGATTAGAAAGTTTGGTTACTTGGAATTCTTTTCCAAATATCGATAACAATAATAACAAATTTTATTTTTTTACACCAGACAAAAAAGAGCATTATATAGAAATTCCCGAGGGTTCTTATGAAATAGAAGACATTGAGTCGTATTTAAATAAAGAAATCAAAAACTATATGGAACATTATTTTCAATACCAAACTGACGAATACGGAAATAGAATAAAGAAATTTAAAATGTCAACACCAAACTTAATAATCAGAGGAAATAATAATACATTAAAATCGGAAGTTAAATGTACCCTTGATATAAATTTTTCAAGAAAGGATTCCTTAGGAAGTTTATTAGGATTTAAGAACAACATTCTGAAAGCGCATAAAACTCATATATCAGATTTTCCAGCAAAAATTTTAAAAGTGAATGCTCTTTGCGTTTATTGTAATATAGTAACTGGTTCATATAAGAACGGAAATCCCGTTCACGTAATACATCAATTTTTTCCAACAGTACCTCCCGGTTACAAAATAGTGGAGCGACCATTAAATGTTATATATCTACCAATTAATACGAAACAAATAGATGAGATAATCGTTAAAATAACAGATCAAGAAGGAAATATTGTTAGTTTTAGAGGTGAAGAGGTGGGTGTACGTTTGCATCTTAAGAAGCTCACGTGATGGGTATTATTTTTAATGAAAATCTAAAAAACCGAAATTCGGTATATATAAATAGGACGATGAAAAGAAAATCAGTCAGTCCTTCTACAAGGATCAAACGTTTAACATTAGGGAATCGTAGATTTCTTGAATCTCTAGGATTAACGGTTTTGAAATAATATTTTTATCCAGTATAAAAAACAGCAATGAATTTTGAAATATTAAACGTAAACGAAAAAGCTGCATATGATCATTCAATTTATTATGGAGAAAGACATACACACTTGCCTTATTCTAACAGTTCATATAACTATGATGATGAAATAAGAATTCCAATTGAACATCAAGATTTATACACTTTTCCTCATTTGAGTACATTGCATATAGAGGGTAAGATTATTGTGAAAAATGAAATCGATGAAATTGTACAGAAACCAGAAATCAAATTTGTAAATAATGGCGTTCTTTTGTTGTTTAATCAAATAAGATATGAAATTGCTGGAGTCGTTGTGGATAGTATTAGAAACCCAGGGTTAGCGTCCACCATGAAAGGATATGTAACGTATAACAGTAATGAAAGCGTAGCTCTAGAGAATGCTGGATGGTTTCCTAAAAAAGATTCGAATATAATTAAAGAAAATGGAACTTTTGAAGTTTCGATTCCATTAAAAATAATTTTTGGCTTTTGCGAAGATTTCAAAAAGGCTATTTTGAATGTAAGACAAGAGCTTGTTTTAGTTCGTTCTAATACCGATGTAAATGCTTTAATTTCTTCAAATGATAAATACAAAATTAAAGTAGAACTTAGTAAAATATGCTGGAAAATGCATCACTTGTCCGTGTCCGATGCCGAAAGGATCGCCTTGATCGATATTGTAAGAAGCAACAGGGAATTGGATATTATGTTTAGAAGTAAAGAATTACATGAATTTGCGCCACCAGTTCAATCGATAACTAATACTTGGACTATTAAAACTTCCTTAGAAAAACCTCAGTACATACTTTTTGCATTGCAACAGGGAAGAAAAAATCAATTGAAGAAAAACTACAGTCAATTTGATCATTGTAATCTGAGAGATGTCAAATTGTATCTTAACGATACCATGTATCCCTACGACAACTTGAATGTTGATTTCACAAATAATCGTTATGCAATTCTCTATGATATGTTTAAAGAGTTCCAGACATCGTTCTTATCCAAAACTAGCGAGCCATTATTCGATAAGGATGAATTTAAAGAAAAGACACCCATAGTAGTAATCGACTGTTCTAAACAAACGGAAGCTTTGAAGAGAGGCCCCGTTACAATTACGTTGTGGTTTGAAACGACCGCAGGTATTCCAGCAGACACCACAGCCTACTGTCTTATTCTTCACGACCGAATGGTAAAATACATTCCTGCACAAGATGTCGTCAGAGTGTTGTGAATAATTTAAAATGTTACTGTATTTAAAATTAATGTATTATGTTTGAGGGGTAAATAAAACTACATATACAACCATTTTTGTGTATTTTATTTATGACAACCAAAAATTACATCTAAAGTTTTCTTATAATCATCTAATTTAATTGAGGGCCATCTTGCTGCATCTGGTCCTTCGGTCCATCCTAATGGTAATTCAGGATTAGCTTCACCTTTGACAATGTTCTTTTTGAGCCAGGTGAAAATTCTTTTGTGCTCCTGATTTTCAGAGGGTTTAAATGTGAAGGAATCGTAATTGATTATCGTTAGAGCCTCAAAGAATGTAGTGAGTGCTTTGTGATTTGCCAAATATGCAGCTCGACACATAAATTCGTCAACACATTGCTCGATCCGTCGGTAATTTTTCTGGATATTTTCAACAGGATAGAAGATATCCCCCAGATTCTGCCAGCGATGATCACTTAATAATTTATAAATAAAAGATTTATAAACTAGTGAATTATCAAGGTAGTTGGTGGTCATTAAAAACTCCAAAGAAGCATAATTTAAATTTTCAATGTTGTCTCTTTCACATATATTTAGAAATGCATCAATATAACTGTCAAGAGATTGTTTCTTTTGTAGGAGTACACATATGTCAAGAGTAAAAAAACCAACTTCATTTTCAGCAATCCATTTAAATACTTCATCCGGTACAATAAATTCGGCTTTTTCAATAATGTAAAGGAACAAATTTAATTTTGTCCTATCATTCGCAGCGGCGCGAAGATAAATTTTATACACATTTTCGGATGCACAAAATGCTTGCAAATCAACAAACTGTCTCAAGTCAGACATTGTAGTAATGTGAAATCACCAACATCGAATAAATCATCAGCTAACTTAAACTGCTTTTATATTATAATTCCCCACTCTTCACATTTCTGGTGGCGAAATATGATATCCCCAAGGTCGCGTATCCGTTGCAAATCTTGTAACAATTCTCTTATCATCATTATGGCTGAGAACTATTTTCTCCTGTTTTATTGTGTAAACAATATGATGTTTTGATTTGATGAGATTTTGGGACTTTTCGTAATTTCGGCTATTAAATAAGCATTCTTTATAATTTTCGAATGTTATTGTTTTAAGTGAAGCTTTCGTACTACCTTTGGATTTCTTAACTACCTTTTTATTAAAATCATCCTTTGCAACTCTATATGCATACATTTTCGATCTGAGACCCACAAATTCTAACATAATCTTACCGTTATTTTCATCTTTCATCAAACCTGGCACTTTTTTATTTTTTTGTTCTATACCATAAACATTATACAAATCATAGTCTGAAGTATCAAACCGATGAGAATCTTTCTTAATATATTCGTATATATCACCTACATGAAATTCGTAAATTAGACTGTCAGTGTCGGTGTAAAGCAACTTTGCATTATTGTTAAATGTTTCCTTAATATAACCATAGTGGAATTCATAGAGAAAAGTTTTAGAAATATCTAAAATACAAAAACCGACATAAATTGGTTTATTTAAAAACACCTCTAATTTACTCATTTCGATGATAGCTGAATCATCATCAAATACAACGGAACTGTGAAAATTTGGTTTAGAAATAAGAGAACGAACTCCCCATCGTCCCTCCCATTTACTGACCAATCGAATATCCCTATGTTTTCGAACATTTTCCATGCATTTACCATAAATAGCGTTAATCATTAATTTAAAAAAATCTTTTTCAAAATCGTTCTTCGCTTGCTGTCTAAGCCTTGTATTTAAATCTATATATTCCTTTAACCACGCAGACTGTTCGAATTTAAGAACACGATGTACACATTTTATTTTCATACCAAATTTTATATACATTTTTAAATTCCTATAATGTATAACATAATTTTTCTTAGGATATAAAGTCAATAACAACTTTTTAAGTTTAGATCTTGAAATGGGAGGTATCATGTGCTCTGGAGCTAAAGGTAAATCGCTATGTATTTCATGCAAATCTACTGGATAATCCAAATCGCATTCAATAATATAACCAGTTGTGGAATTATCAGAAGTATCTAAGATATCTGAAATATTGAAATTTTCTACAAATTCAAATTTCCCATACGGTAAACATTGAGACATTGCCGCTCCGTAAAGGTTATTAACATCAAAATACATTAAATAGGTACTATCTTGTGAAGGATCATATTCGTCTTTATTCATGTACTTATTATTGGCTTTACCGTATCTATTAGAACATTGGGAAACTCCACCTCTAATACCTCTCTCCACAAAAAGGACTTTATCTATGTCCGTTAAGAGTTCTAGTTTAATTTTTGTCGTTTTTAACATGGCATCAAATGTTAAACCTGGTGCAGTATAATAATGTAAGGGATCAAGTTGATAAGTATTTAAACACGTAGTTCGAAATGCTTCGAATACGTCGGCTAGAAGAAGCACATCTGTTTTTAAATATAAATCGGAATATTCTCCTAATGTACGAATATTGAAAGTATTCCAAACTTTGATAGCGTGAGAATAATCTTCATCTTTAACATCTTGTTCGTATAAGCGGCTATAAAATTCCTTTTTTTCGGGTAGTTTTGTTTCAAGGAGTTTCTCCCAGGAATTTATATAATCATAAGGAAACACTCCTTTTCTGTTTAACAAATAAAATTCTTCCATATTATTACAATTTGTCTGAGTAATAATTTTTTGTGAATTATCTAAATTGGAAGAAAGCTTGTCTAAACTGTAGGGCATAAATCTGAAAGAATCAATAAATCGTAAACTAACTTTTGTATCATCGACAAATTTAGTAAATGAAATATACCTTTCTTTATTGATGGGAAGCAATTTAATGTCACCTTTTATTGAATTTGAAAGTTCTTTAATAAAAAAATGTGCGTCATATCCACTCATATTATGAAACACCACAGGTATAACACAAATATCTTTATAATTTAAATTACAATTCTGATGTGCAGCGCCCCTATACATTCCAGTTAAGTGATTATGATCGCGCACTTTAACGTTATTTTCTGAAAATGTTTTTTTACATATATGACATATTTGTGAGGATTCAAACTGCTCACGTTCTTGTGTAGTTAATTTTTCCATAGATATAATGTTTTGAAATTTGTTGTTACAAAAATGAGACAATTGATTTAACTCTTGAACAAACCATTGGATGCAATCTTTACCTCGATACAAACGAAATCTGGAAAGAGAATTATCATATGAACAGTGAAAATAGTATGCAACACTGTATGCAACATGTTTTTGATAAGGATTGGTTTTACAAGTAGTGGACATGTGGTCTTTTGAATAATCAAGAAGAATACTCTCGAGATCTGCGTATATAGTAAAAGGTACTTTCTCTTGATATCTATAATTTTGAAAATACAAATAATTTTCGTTTTCTGATGGCAATCTTATGGAATATTTATTAATACTCTGACATGTAGTTTTATGTTTTTGGAGTAACTCCTCTGTAGTGAAATGATTTAAACATCTTTCGCATATATAAAATTTACATTTATGGAGGGAAAGTTGCTTAGCTAAAAGAGCTGACAAATTTTTGATCCATACGAAATGATAGAGCAATTGACGATCTTCAAAGTGATCATTGTCGTTTTTTGTATTTTGTATTTGTGTTTCAGCAGGTAGCATAAGCAAATTAATTACTTTATTAGAATTTAAAAACCTTGTGCTTAAACGACAAGGTAAAACTTTTTTCTCCTCGATGCAGTACAAATTAATTGCAAGATTGTTGAGTTCTTCAAATTTTTGAATGTCTTTAATTGTGATTGGAAAGTCTAAATTATCATATTTCAACACATTTTTGAAGTGTGGATACGACGATTTTCGATGTGAATTTTTATCGGTAGGGAATAAAGCTGAAACTATTGCCCATAGAAAACAATATTCATCATCATTTTGAACATTAATTATTGCATGTTTTTTTTTAATGCAAGCTGGTGTGGACACGAAAGTTGAGTAACCAAATTTGATTGGATCATATTTATTTATGTTAATTTTCAATCCTAAAATCTCATACAACGCCCAACCGGAGTCCTTTTCCGCAAATTCTTCTAATTTCTTCATTATCTTATCAACAACGTTCTCTTCGTACCATTGCTTTAAATCTGTATATGCATCAATGTGCTGATTTTTTGTGGAGAATGTTTTAACGTCTGTTTCACCAGAGTGCGGTTTAATAAAATTTGCCGAAAAAATTACATTTACTTTTAGCATCGTGTTTTTTAGCTCTTTTCTAATTCTAAACATAAAACATTTAAAAGATTGTCGAAAAAACTGAAGAGGATCTTTAATGTGATGATTAATTATAAATCCTGTACGAATTCTTTGTTCAAAACAAGATTCTATGTCTTGCCAGGTTACGTTTGCCGTAGGTTTAAATTTGTCTCTTTTAAAATAACCTTCTCCAATTTTTAGAGACAATTGTTTTTTTTTATTTAAAAGCTTGAAGCGGTAAAATTTTAAATAAGCTAGACTTGTTTCTAAGGAATTAGCATTTTCTAAAATATTTTCTCGATGTATTTTACATCTAAGTGCTTTTCTAATTATTCTAATGCTGGTATTTATATATACTAAAAAATTTTTAATTTCTTCGATTGTTTTGATTTTACTAATATATTCATGAATTAGCTTAAGCGAGCCTTTACATATAGCCGTCACTGTTTCCTGCGGATGCATTTCTTTTTTTTTTTTTGCTGTCGAACTTGTTTATCACAGTAGAAAGAAGAGCACTATTATTTTTCTTTATTTTTCTGTGGAATACCTTCTTATTTATATGTGAACGAAATTTCCGATTGTAACTCACAACTCAACAAATTTAATAAAAATCAGCGAAAAATGAGACGCGTATTTTTGCAAGCTCAGAAAAACAACTAAATTATCAACTTCAGCGTAATTAAGAAAATGTAATCTGTAGTAAAAGTGGAGGAAAATAGCAAGAGTGGGGATTGATAATGTGTATAAATGGGAGATCACCCGCAAGAGTTATAACAGTCCTCAACAAATTGAAGATCACAGTCAGTCCTCAACACTTAAGAAAAATATATATAAACAACAAAATGGGTAAGCTTGTCTTTATTACTATTAAATAAAAATCCTAATTGTTTTTCTTTTTTTTTTATTTAGAGCAATTTGTCATATGCCCGTTTGACAGAAGCCATAGGCTTCTTGAGAGCCGATTGAAGCGCCATATTTTTAATTGTCATCGTGAGGCCTGGGAGCGGGAGAGATGTCTTCGTGAGGCTGCTTCCAGAGCATCCCATACGCCACCATCACCACCACCACGAGCACCACCACCACCGCCAATAATAGAATGCCCAAACAACTGGGATAATGAAATTAGTCAAACGTACGTCCCCTCCATGAGTAGGGAGCTGCTTCTGGACAGAACGGCAATCAATAATTATAAGTCAGTTTTTAGAAGAAAATAATAAAATAATTATAGTAATTTGTTTCGGTCCGTTTATCGCTACCACCCTACCATGACTTACCACCTCTACAAGCTTGCTATTCGAGTGTGTGTATACAAGAACATAACTAGTCTAAAATGTTTCTGCCTATCAACGTGATGGTACTATTAAGTGCGCTTGTTGAAAACAACTTATATATCTATACCACGCCAAACATAACTCTTCTGTATATTCAGACGTATGAAAAGGAATGTTGGGAAAAAATGACTCCGATCAATATAATCGAAACCAGTTATCATCTCTTCTATGCGAAAAATATCACAACGCAAAATTATTTGGCTTACAAGATAAAAACAGAACAAGGAAATCGACAATTTTCTCAATGGTTAATAATCGAAAATATTAACAGTAGTAACAATTCAAAGGAAATCTTTGATTTTTGTTTAAGAAACGATCATGTGTGGTCTGCTTCACTTTTTCTCATATTCTCGATAATGACCGTAATAGTAGCATGCTGGGATTTGGCGAGCCGTTAGTGCTAATTGTGGTGGTGGTGGTGGTGGTGCTGTTGAATACATATATAGGTTACTTCGCAACAACAAAGTACTCATTCTATCCAAACAATGTTAGGCTTAAACTGCACACTTATTTTATCGACCATTTTAATACAGAAAGATTTGTATTTATTCACTGATAGCAATGTTACAGATGTACATTTACAAACTCTGGTTAGAAATAAAGAATGTACTTGTAGAAAAATGATAGAAATTAAAGATGGACATGATCAGTTAGTTATGTTTTATTCAAAAAATGTATCCGTTTCCAGCCAACTGCAGTATCAACTAGAATTTGTCTTCAAAAACAGAAGCCGATGCAAGTCACCAAATATCACCACTATTAACGATTATAGTGGATACAAAAGTTCTAGCGGTGAAAATGCTACACAATATTGTTTGGCAAAACCCTGGATCTGGATATTTACTTCTGCAGGAGCAATTATTTTTGTAATTATATTTTGTGTGTTACTTTATTTAGTGTTAATATGTTTCACTCATTGTAGCAAACCCAATAATCCAACAAATGTTTGAAAATGTATGAATGTACGGATTCAATAAAACAATTATTTACATTTATTAGTTTTATTTCACATATATTCTATAATTTTTTTTTTTCTAACAGCATCAGCACTACGATTTAACACAACAATAAATTATTTAATATTTTTCAAATTATTAGCAGCAACACAGGAATCATCGTGATCTACCACTACAGTATATGCTGACATAGCTAAATTGTTTGGTTCAAATCGTACTTCCTTTTTCGCAATTCTTTTCTTATATTTGGTGATGCGATCTTTTTTTTCAACATTGTCGAAATTCACATCTGTTAATTTCCATTCAACAAGTACTGGATTTACTCCACTTGAAAAATACATTGCCACTTTGCATATCGTTAAATCGAAAGATTTGAGAATTCTTAGTATTCTGGCTTCCAAGGAAATTTGAGGACGAGGTTCAATAAAAATAAGGTTAAATAGAAAACCTTCAAAATTCAAATAACAGCAAGGCCATTTGGATTGATAAACGTAAATAGAGATTCGGTTAGCTTGGCAGTTATCCTTAGCCCATTCTTCTATATTTTCATTTTTTTCTATATAAATATCAATGTCCGTATATGAAGAGGTTCGGTTCAATAGAAATGCGGCACATCCACCAGCCATGAATTTTCTGCACAATGGAAATTTTTGTCGTAACAAACTTTCGATTGCTTGAATGATACAACGTTTCTCTTCATTCAATGAATCTATATCAAGATCGCGAGAAACCAAAAGACTCTCTTTCAGTGGAAACATATCTGATGTGTGAACTGAACTGATAAATTTATAGAACACCAATACGTCTTATATACATGTGCTTCATCACAGTGAGGCTTGGATTGCTGAATTGCAGTTCTCACGGAAATAGTTTTTTCATGACCTTGAACTCTTAAGTTCCGTGAAGAGCACGTGTTTATGGAATTGCCGAATTGCATTTCTCACAGAAATAGGTTTTTTCATAACCTTGAACTCTTAATTTCCGAGAAAAGCACGTCTTCAAAAATTGCTGAATTGCATTTCTCTGATTTGGATCAATCTTTAAAATGTCCATATATGGACATGAAAAACTGCTGATTCGGCATTTAACCCCTCTACATTGTTTATTTTTTTGTATATTCTGCATTATTTTTCCTATATATTTAGAGTAGTTACTTATAATTGTCATTAGTTATTTTTATTCTCTCTCTCTGTGTGTGTGTGTGTGTACAGTGTCCCTGCAATAAAAATGAAATTTTCCCTGAGTTTAAAAAAACCAAAAATTAATATTCTGGAAAATATCGTCATTCAGGTAGGTTTTTTTTTTATTTTTATCTATTATATATTTGCATTATTATTGCGATTGCTTTTTCTCTTTTTAATAATAACTAAGTAATGTTTATATATTTTGTAGCCACCCAATAATAATAATTGCCGTCCATCATCACCACCACCCCCTATGAGACTTATCTCTGAGCTCTCGGAGGAGGAGATGAGTCGATTAAGATCTCCAGAGCCCAGTTCTCCACAGCCCTCATGTTCCTACCAGCAGCCGTCTCCTCTCGATATCGACTTGACGCCATCTATGTTCGATGGCGATGAGGAAAATGGTGGAAAGAACATGAAGTTATTGAGGGCGTTGTGTGAGAACATGCAGGCAACCCCTGAGGAGCAACAGCAACAACAACAACAAGAGACGAATGCAACTCTTCCTGTTCCTGATGCTGATGTACGCTCCCCATCAGTGCACCATCAGCAGCAACAGCAGGAAGAGGAGGAAGGGCAACCGATCCGCCGGACACCACCCCCGACACCTCGAACTGTGGACAGCGAGGATGAGTTCCAGTCGCCATCCACGGCACCGGAACTTCTGGCGTCTTTCCGTTCGAAGTGTCGGGAGGCCGAACGAACCCATAAAAAGAAAAGGTTCGACCTCCTGAAAAAAAAGACGAGGTGTGAAAAAAACGTCAAACAATATGAGAAAAAAGTGTGTGATTATCAAAGACTTCTTGCGGAAGCCAAAAAAGAACTCTATGATCTCAACAAAAACTTGAAAAATTGTGAAAGCAGTGCTGAAGAAGTAAAAAACTTATTAAATAGGATTAATTTTGTACAGTGAATAGTGTATATAGTGTATAGTGTATAGTGTATAGGGTATAGTATATATAGTAGTGTTTAGTGTTGTAGTGGTAGCAAATTGTTGTAGTGGTAGCAAATTGTTGTAGTGATAGAAGTAGTGGAAGCAGCAAATATATACATATATCTCTTTTTTTAATAGTGCTTTTTGATGGTTTTTGATGTTTTTTTGTTGGTTTTTGAAACTTGAAATTTTTTCTTTAATGTCTTAGTGTACTTAGTGGTGATGGTAGTAGTCATGTGACAATAAATATAAAGACAATAACCTATTTCGCTTTTTTTTTTTTTTTTTTTTTTTTTTTAAGTGTTGCATGTTGGGCTTATTCGAATCCTTTTTCGATGGTCTTTTTTTCGACCTGAAAAAATTTTTACGTAGCGACCTTGAAAAAACTAAAAATGGCTCCTGTATCAAGGTTGACGTGGACAGAATCGATTTTTTTGAGCAAACTTATCCGTTCGTTCCATAAGAAGGTTTTGATGTATACAACCGATACCGTATCTCTTACCGTTTGGGCACTAGAAACTTTTGCCCTTTTCTCCCTCAATTTCAACTTTTTTCGAAATTTTTTTTGCTCAACGTGTGTCTTAATTTTTTTAGC